AGAGACACAAATATTCTATCTGTATTCAAGAATCCTGGTTGAATAAGGATGTAGATGACTCCAGTGTAAATAGACGGTTTTCAAGTTCACCGACAGGATCGTGGAATCGGAGGGGGTGTTGCCATATATGTCAACGTTTCCTGGTGACAAGTCCCATGTTACTGCTCAAAAGTTATGGAGTGCCTAACTAAACAGTGTCACCCTAGATTTTCCCGTTTTACTCACATTATTTTGACTAACTTGTATATAGCCCCGTACTGTACGCAGTTTGATCGTATGTCTTTCTTCGACTCATTCATACCTTTATTGCCCCACTTTTAGATGTTAACCTGCATATAATCGTTGGCGACTTCAACCATACTAGTACTTATCCACTTTCATCATTGGGTATGACAGACCTTTGTCGCTCTCGCACAAGAGGTAACTCTATACTGGACGAGCAACGCTGAGGTTAGGAGTATAGTTTAGAGTAATCGAGGTCGCCCACTGCAACAGGTAGTCGACCTATATAGTTTACGCTGGTTGGGACATGTGCTACGCATGTCACCAGATAGGTTGCCACGGCGAGCGATGCTTGTCGAGGCAGGTAGCGGTTGGAAAAAATGAAGGGCGGTCAAGCTAAGACCTGGCATGAGGGTATGGAAACCCTAACCAGGAGACTGGCTCACATAGCTCCCGTTAGGCTCCCTGGCTGGGGACCCCGAAATCATGGTCGCCGATGGTTAGAGACACTGAGCGATAAGGCTGGGTGTCGCAAACAGTGGCGCTCATTGCATCTATTCATTATTGTTGTAAATTCAGTCTATGAAAATGTGCTATCTTCCGCTTGAGTCTGCTCTCAACATCATCATCTCATTATTCTGCTGTTTTATCCAAATGGGCAACGAAAACCGGTACACGAAAGTGCATGGTTAATGGTTGTAAGAACTGACCTGAACTTATACTGGACAGAGTATTTACCAACCACCCAACCCTTTTTTCATCAGTACTAAAAGCACCTATTTCCTCCAGTGACCATTGCTTACTCTTAGTTCGACCTAAAGCTTATTCACACAATGCATATAAATCTCTTCCCAATCTGAGCATATCAGATTTCGTTTTCGTAACCCCTCACCTACAAGTGTTTTTCTCCTGAATGAATCTCTCAGACAGGCCTCTTTATGGTTTTCATCATCTCCTTCTTCTCTATTCTCATGTTCCCCTATTCACCCAAACAATCAATGCCGTTTATATTTACTACCGTCGTTGTTTGCGGAGGTACCAGATTGCAACTTCATTATTCTCAATCATGAATGTCCCTTTCTAGATTCAAAACGTACACTAAGACGAGTGTTGACAAGTGCAGTCCAAATGCACGACTGTCAGGAAAAAATTCCTTGAATGACGGAATGCCATCGAAAGGTGCTCCCCGAGTGGGTGCATACAAGTCTCATAATGCTTCCGCTGTCAGGTATTTGTCCAGGCTTATCAAAGCTGTTGAATGCATTATTCTCCGATCGAATTATGAGGACTGGAAACAGCAAGCACCTGTGGCAAAGTATGAGACTTCTCTGTGGAAGGAAGAAACGACGGTCGAAAGTAGATGTGGACGCTGGTGATCTAACTGTCGCATTCCTGTGCCAGTCATCGAACATTCTTCCTGCCTACTCGTCACAAAATGTTTGTAACGTAGAGCTATTCTCATATCGTGATGTGTTAAAACTTCTAAAAAGCTGCAATTCGTCTTCTGTTGCAGACCCGGATTACTTACATCCAGCCCTCTTTAAATTTGGTGCTGCTTCCCCAGCTGGGGCAAGTACCTCCATTATCAATGAATCTCTTAATTCTTTTACCATCCCCGACTATTGAAGGCCGATCACAATCATACCAATCCCCAAAGCATCCAAATTGTCTATCTTCTCCAAACGTTTTCACCCCATAGCATTAACATCTTCAGCTCTTGAATTGACTAAAACGGCCATCCTCAAACGCTTTCAGCAGTCTATAAACATTCCCAGTGATCCGTTACAGTTTGCATACAAGCCTAGTAAGTCCACCTTGGACGCAGTCTCCACCCTCATTTATTTTATCACTAAGTCTTTGAACAGCTCTGTTAAGTCTGTTCGGTGTTTTTTTTTGACTACTCTTCTGAATTTGATTCCAGCCCTAGATCTAAGTTGTTACAAAAACTGGAATCTTTTGAATGCCCTAAGCTGTTGTTAGCTTGGCCATCCAACTATTTTACTGATAGAGTACAAACCACTTGATTGGGGAAGGCCACATCGAAACCCTTGATAATTAACTCCGGGGTTATTCAAGGAGCTGTGCTATCCCCGTACTTACTTTCCACTCATATTTGTGATATACC